ATATATATATATATATATATATATATATATATATATGATGTTAATTTGTGCTATATAAAGTATAAGAACAATGACTTTTACCCAATATTAAAAATTATCATTATAATTTTTGGTCTTTAAAATATTCGATATACCATAATACTTGCTTCTTATAGATCATGTTATTAAGGTTAAAATAATAGATCATGTGATTATGGTTAAAATAAGAAATTTGGTAAGAGTTTTTAGATATAAAAAAATATTTTCTTTTTGGATTAAAAAGAGAAACAAAGTTATACAAAGTTGTACGTCTAGTTATTTATTTAAGTCAATCTAATTCGAATATAAGAGGATCATAATGAAATTTTAATTTTTCTTTTCCCACAATAAATAATAACATAATTATAAATAGGATTAAGAAAAATATATTCTGCTCTGACCTCTATTTTATACAATAAAGAAATTATTTTCGTTAAACTCCTAATTTTATCCTATTTTCTTGTGTAATGTATAGGAAAGGCAATTTTTTTTTCCTTTGGTATCTATATTACGTTGTATCTCGTTTTCTGAAATGTGTTCCCTATGGTAGAGGTTTACTTCTTTCTCTTTTATTTTAGTTGTTGATTATTTTCAATTTCACGTTCTTGAATATATTAGTTGTTTTTTATTTAATATTTTTTGAAGTTAAAAAAATATGAATTAATTAATTTGATCAATGAATACAAATTAATTATTTTATTTTCTATATTGATCAGATACATATTTTCAAGATTAATAATTTCAAAAATAAAATTGAAAAGAATACTATTATTTTATAGAATTAATTTTACGAAATTACATATATTAAAAAATATTCAACTTTTACGTATTTATTTTATATTATAAATAAAAGTGAAAGAAATATTATTTTAAAGTGATATTTATAGAAATCTGTAGTGAGACAGTATACATATTTTAATCCCAATGTCTGAAATGTTTGACCCAGCAGAGTCTGTCCGAATGGAAAAAGATAGATTCGAACCTCTCGCTAGCAATAAAATATCAAATGAGCCTCTTTTTGCTTCTCTCTTCTACGCTCATTACGTATGATTAAATAAATAATATTTTTTTTGATAAGACTATACTTTTTTTTTCCCAATTATATTCTTGAAAAGTATATGTTCACGTGGTGATGCAATCAAAAACATTTTTTTCCAGGACCAGCATAACATGCATTGGCTAAATTACTTATTCATAACTTTGAGATAGATATTCATATTCAATTAAAAAGAGGTGACCTGATTAAATTATTTACTATTTTAATAGATATTTAAGAATATTTTAATAAAAATGCTCAAACGAAAGTATTTAATGGAGATATTTTATTATGTGATTAAATGCTATTGAGCATGTAAATGAAATTTGCACACAAATTCGAAGAATTTTATGTAATACACTGATTATTTATTTATATTTTTTTTATTACAACAAATAATTTGATTTTATAATCAAAAAAATTGTTAGCCCCGTTGATTAAACTATTTATTTCAATCAAATTAAATGCCAGGCTAAGAAAAACGCTCTTATATTAATTTCTTCATTAATACACAGTATTTACTTCATTATTTTTAACTGATCATTTACATTAATGGCTATTGATATTGATCTATCGAGAGCATATAGGTTTTAAATCCTTCTGTCATTCCACTGCAAATGTGCCTAACAACTGTAAAAATCGTCGTTTAGTCATAATCTGATAGATACCTTCCGTAGTAACTAAGCAAAAAAACTGGCCTTTTGTAAGAAAAAATTAATCGCACCAATCCAAAAGTGTAACTTCAAAAAACAGTAATTCTAGACTATATATTGTTTAGAAAATATGTTGAGTTCGAAATAAAAATGCACACAGCGTAACAAATTGTCACTTGATATTAAAGTATTAAACATGTCATTACAATAAAGCGTATAATTTTATTTTATTACTAGTAGCAAGAATTTGGTTGCAAATTATATATAAACATAGATATAAAAAGAATAAATGAAGATGAGGTTACTATAGCGCCGATAGCCTCTCTTTTTTAAGGTTTAGACATGGCATGTTACTTACTCTGGTTCTGTTCTTGTTTTTATATGATTTCTCTATTTTTTTTTATATATAGAAAAGAAGTGTTTACCCAAATAACGTTTGCCGACCAAAAAAATTTCACCCTAATTAGATTAGAATGAAAATAATAGCTTGCTTATATATAAGACAAGACATCATTAGTGGTCGGTGAAATGTGAATACGTTGGGAATTTCTACAAATGTATTTAGTGAAATTAAAACGGAAAATTTTAATAGTTTAATTGATTAATTATTTTTTTTATGAGGGTTTTATTTTGATCTCACCATCGTCTCCCATGCAATAACTTGTCAATCACACACAAAATCGATGATCCAAAGCCTCCCACATAGGAAAACAAGTAATAAACCCAACAATCATCCAGCTAATTCATCAAACGTCAATTGTTTCCGAACAATTTTTCCATATGTGATATGTTCTCTCTTTTTTATTTTTCACCTTCTTCTCGTTGTTCTTTTTCTGATTGACACAGGGTATCTAGTATCTACATTTGTTTTTGGAATACGTGACAAGTTTTCATGTATAAATTATAATAATGCAATTCATAGAGTAGGTAAAAGTACTTAGATTGGAATATTATTTGTACCATCGAGGTGAACAAATCAATTAGACTTGTAAATTATTATTGATGTGACAAGGGAGAGTTGTTAGAACATAATCATACTTTACTCATGATTTTAAGATTGTAAATTCGAATCATCAATAGAATAAGATAAAACTGCTGTATAAAGGATAAAGTATATGAGAGGATTCATGTTAATAATCAAGCATGCATGTGGCATCGACGTTATATTTTGCAGTGATGACGATGATGAGAATATTTCTATTTTCATGATAATTGAGAATAATTTACAAAACACGTTTGAGTATGCTCTTTTTTATTTTATTTTTTGCTTGTCTTATACATAATATGTCCCTGACGTTTAATTTCCTCAAAAGTGTTCAACATGAGTATCATTATTTTTTCTCTATTATTGTTTGAAAACAAACCTGAAGATTCGATGTAGTACTATTACAGGAATAAAGAACAAATTAAAATTCACTGCCCAGAAATTATTTTACCCTGCTTCTCTTGAAATGGAGAAATTATTTATTGTACCATTTACCAACAGAGTTATTTTCTACTAAAATGTTAAATTGTCTGATTGCCACGATCACTTATTGTTGTACAATATTCCCTTACTTGTTGCACGAAGTCATCAATCAACCTCTTCACTTATTGGGGTATATATTTTAAGTTACATATATAGTTTAATTTGATAGTGTTTAATAAAAGATGAAATTTTTTAAAAATTTATTGTCTAAAATATTTTTTTGACATTTATATGGTTAAAAATTATTTTCA